TTTTTCAAGTATATCTTTTTAATTTTCCTTTATGTAGACCAATCATATATATGTAGAATTCAATAGGTGGGATACCAAGGGCCAAACACTTCTTGTAGAAGGAAACAAAATTTTACAATTTTCATTGAGTTATTTGGATCATAGAATAATAAAATTTTATTCTTGTATTTGCTGGAAATATGTTAAAATGATTGTTAATTCTTTAATAAATCAATGCTCGACTTAATACTGTTTATTAAATTATAAGATATGGATTGTTTTATTTAACTACATGTATATCAATGTACTATTACATTATAGAATATAACAATATATAAAGATTACTTTTTGGTAGTTTAATTAGTGAGCAGCGAGTGGCAAGGAAAATTATTGAACAGTATTATAATAATATATTTTTATTATAAGGTTATATATTATTACAAAATTACTTAATATTTTATTCAATTGATAAATAATGAATAAAAAATAATTCAAATTAAAAAAATAAAAAGATAATAATTAGTTATAAAACTATTAATGATAAAGTGGACTGTATATTATGTACAAATACCATACGATATATATATTTGAAATACACAATTATGTTAAAAATATAAATATACAATTGATATGAAAAGTAAATGCCTACTTAATATATAAAATTTAAAAAAATGTCTTGATCTTTTACATTTAATCCCTAGTTTGCAACTCTTTTGTCAAATTTATGTTGGTATTGAAAATATCAAACCATTTGTTAAATAATAGTATAATTTCCAAAGACTAAATTACATTATAATATATAAAAAAATATTAATGATTAAACATATTTTATTTTCTTATAATCGCCTCTTTCCAGTTATATTTATCTACATAATTTTTTTCTCCTGGCTTTTGAAACAGAATTAGAAAATAAATGTTCTGCTAATCTAACATTCATGGGACCTGAATGCCTGATCCTTCTATAAAAGGATGTTGTTCAGATAGTTTATGAGCAAATTTATTATCTTTATCATACTTAATATTTATAATTTTGTGAGCGTATTTTTTCCGATGAATTTACCATTTGGAAGTATGAACCCATTTAAATGATCATAGATATTAATTATTTAACAGGTAAATAATAATGAATGTTACTATTTAAAAAGTCAAAAGTGCTTATCTATCGAGAAAATAGTTTCTAGCTAATTTCAGTAAGTGTGGGATATCAGCAAAAACATGAATTCTAACATTTAGTTTTGGATGTTCATATGACGTATTGTTAATGGAAATGTCTAAACTTTTTTATAAGCCTACATTTGTAGAACTGTTGTCACTGACTATGCCAACTACATTGAAGACAACTTCACTTTACTCCTTTATTATATTATATAATATTTCCTTAGTCACCCACTCATCAAAGTTGTAATACATTAGTTGCTTCCAGTTATTTATTAATCCTTTATTTAAAAAAAAAAACATGTATTATTATTATTTATTATCAAGTGCTAGTAGCACTTTAGATAACCAAATTTGATTTTTATAGGCATCATTTTATTTTTTATTTTACCTTATACAATCACTGTATTATATACTAATGCAATTCTACTTTTAACACTATCTAATTTTTCTAAAATATTATCCAGTAACATTTTTTTCTTTTATAACTACATTACTACTACTAGCAATGTTAACATCAGAATTACTAGGTAGTTAAATCAATTTATTTTGATACACTAATAGCAAAAATTATTTCTAATAGAATGAGTTGAAGTTGCTAAACAAAAAGTATATTATCAATTAACAATATAAATTTACAATCAATGATATTAATGTTTTTGCTTGATCAGTAAATTAATTTTTAAATTGAATCTAGATTACATTTTTTTATTTAAAAAAAGTAGAATATCTATTTAACAAACTTGAAAGTTCTTTAAAAAAAAAATAATAAAAATTTTGTAAAGAAGAAATATTTTTTCCACTTATAATATCTAATCATTTTTAGTAAGAATTTCAACAATTTTTGTACCATTCTAACTATAAAAATACTTGCATTTGTTTAAATATTAATCTAATTGACAAGTGTGTATCTTAAAAATATTTAACAAACATTTTTAAATTTCTTGTGTAATATTTACACAATAGCAATGGTGTTATAATAAGACATAGCAGTATAGCACGTCAGATATAGTAAGTAACAAAATACGAGTATAAAATACTGAAATAGCAAAAATTATTACTAATACTGTCACCTTTAGTGTTACGTTTGACGAGCAATGTAATTGGATTCAGACTTTTTTTTATAAACACTAATCATTTTATTCTTACCTTAGTCCTACATAAATTGACAAAAAAAAAAAAAAAAAATGAATCATTAAAAAAAAAATAAAATAAATTATAATATTAAATTTTAATTTTTTTTATAAGAAAATATTTATTCACTTCCTCGCAAAAAAAAAAAATGCTTGCAAATTTGTTATTAAAAAAAAAATTTATTAAATAAGAAAAAAAATTATAAAAATATAATAGATTATAAAAATTTAAGCAAATTGAATTACAAAAATCCATTCATTAAAAAAAAAAAAGAATTTTAAATGTAATTAATAAACAATTTTAAAATTATATAAATATAATGTATCATTAACTTATTGAAACGGTAAACTATATTAAAAGTGTTTTTCTGTGAAGGGTGATACTGTTGTAACTTGTTGTTGTAGTAGCTGATATCATTTTAGTTGTTGGACGACTTGTTTTGACTATGCCATTCTCTTAATAAATCTATAAATATTATAACATAAAATTGATTTTTGGACAATGAAAATTAAGATATCTATGTATTTTCTGAATTACATTGCCATTAACAATAAAATAATTCTAAAGATAGAGATTTTTATAATAATTATTTAATATTATAATTATTAAAACAAACCCAGGAATTATCTCTGAAACATAGAAAGTATAAGAGTAATAAATATGACTAAATAAACCATTTTTTTTAACTTGTAGCAAATGAAAATTCATGAAAATTCTTGTATTAAATTTTCGACATTTTTAATTGAGCTAAGAAATACATAATAATATGAGAAACTGCTTATTAAATTGTCTAGCTTTCGTGTTCAAAAATTTTATCATAAATATATAGAAACGAAGTCTATTGATAGCACAAAAAAGTCATCATATTATTAAGAGATTTTACTTTAGATCTTAAAATTTACAATACCTATTACTAATTATTGTGAAGTCAATACATTAATTACTTACCTACTTTGTTCAGAATTTAAAAAAATAAAAAATAATCTTTTAAATTACTCAATGTGCAACTAAATATTTTGAAATATTTCAAAACAAATATACTATTTTACATTTAAGAAATTTAAAATTTAAAATTTTTTTATCAAACCATTATACTATAGAATGATTGATAGATACTTAACAGTTTCGTTATTAATTTTTTGGCGTTCGTCAAATAATGGTCTTCCTAACAAATATAAATATATTGATCCATTAGGCCAAGCTCGTCGTCCCTTGGGAAGGTATGGTAAGTAATCCTGCCCCATCGTTCCTGCTAGACCTTCACACTGGCTTTCATCCATACGCCCTTCAAGTGGCGCGCTGATCGCCATTCGAATTACCTTTACTCCCTCAACAGAGGCGTCATGCACATCGTATACCTGTGGATCAAAATGTAAAAGACAAATAGAGAGAAAAAAAATTAATGAACTGTAACTTATAATAATATATATTACAACAAAAACACTTCGTTGAATTCCGTGTAAAAACTGGATAAATAAAAAAAAAAAAACCGATCTTTAAGCACTTTAAAAATGTGATATCATAAATAAATGCTTAGTAAATTTAATAAAAGTACACTGATTTTGTTTCAATAATTTATTTACTTGACGAGCTATTTACGAGTCGAATTAATGTAAAGACAGCGATGAAGAACTATCAGTGATACCGATAAAATTTTAATGACTTTTTAATACTTTATTTATTTTTTTTAAAAGGTATTTGAATAGTTTTTGATTGGTGTCCGTTGACGATTAGGTATCATGTTTCACATAACAGTCCTCTTAGTCAGAGAGTCATTGTTAGAAAGCAGTATCAAATGTTTGTTAACGATTAGACGTCTTATTATACTTATTTATCGTAAAAATACGTAATAAATATTATGTGAAAGATCAAACAATCAAATAGCATTTGGTTAATTTATATATTATTATATGTATAGAACACGGGGCTTCATCAATTTGAGAATAAAAAATTATAAGTTAAGTTAGGTATATGAGCATATTATCGTTTGCTAGTGATACCTAGTTTTATTATTTTAGTAAAAGTCTGTATTGTTCGTTTATAATTATTACTGTAATCAATTTTTATTTTTCGAAGATACAATTTTTTTTATAATGATCCAAGTCATCAATAATAAGTTATATATCAGTAGGGCTAGGATTTTAATGAGCTAAAAATCTAAAAAAATGACACCTAATAAAAACTAAAAAATGATCAAAAAAAAATGACTCAATAAGAAAAAAATGATTGAAAAATATATAATTATATTAATAAATTAATAAATAATAATTAATATTTATAAGTACACAAATAAATTCAACTTCTGGTATATTGCTTTGTTAATCTAACGAGTATATTTTATATTATACATATAAACGATTGGTATTTTGAAGTATTAAATATTTTTAGAAAATATGTTTATGATTTTATTTTAATGTTGTATCTTTATATGTTTGTACAATAATTTATAACGATCAATAACGATGATTTAAAATTTTAAAAAATTAAAAATTAATAAAAATATAACCCAGATTTCAATTAAGTATAAAAAAATTGACCATAAAATTGAAAAAATGACCCTAAATTCAAAAAAGTACAAAAATACAAAAATATACAAAATAAAAATTATATATTTGAACTCGTAGATAACCAAATCACATTTTGTGCTTAAAAATCTATATCCTGTAAATCCTAAAAAAAAATAAAAAATCCTATACTATCCTAGCCCTGTATATCAGTAATTACTTGTCTGAAAATAAAAACCAATATTATGTGAATAAGAATGATCATCAATCGCGTGCTTCCCCTCTCCATAAATTTAATAATAAAATAAGTTATGGTACAAATTTTTCTATTATAATAATATGGATTATTAAATAATACGAAAATATTATGTACTTACGGCACATCTGTAAGAAGGTATTTGGTCAGTTTCAGTATTATTTCTTAGATATGGCCAATGTTGTAATAAAGTTATATAATGCCAACCTTGAACATTCTCTTCGCTATTGATCGGATCGTATTTTGGCATACACTCAAAAACAAAATGGTCCATATCTGATAGAATATAATAACAAAAAAATACGCAAGTATGATAAATATTTTTTATCCCTAAATTAAAACAATGTATTCTAAATGTAGTTTAGTACTAAATTAATTGTTTTATATGTTCTTATGTACCTATAAAATAATATGTGTGTCATCTTCATAGTTTATACATTAATTATAACTTTATCTAGTGTCTATATTATATTTTTGTTTCACCGTGGAAATGAATTATTTAATAAATAAATAAAGATGTAAATAATTAATGATCTTTAAAAATATAAATATAGTTGGTAGGTATACAATAATATATCCAACTAAAATGATAAGATTAAATTGAATTTAATTATACCTATATAGAGATGTCATATTTTGGACGATATTAGACTGTATCTAAAACACACATACATGGTAATTTACATATAGATAACAGTTTTATGAGTGGATAAGTGAATTTTATATTCCATATATATCTGTCAAAACGAACGTGATTATTTATATCAATATATTGTGGTGACATAAATCGGTAATTGTGCATCTTTATGTTTCTGATCTATTTTAGTTTAAATATAGGACATTTAGTAAGTTTGTAAACAGTAATTAGACTAACTTGAGACTGATAATATTATACATTTGATTAATGAGGTTTTTTTAAATATTTTACATGATAAATGTACAACAGTGTTATCTGTTATTGTTCTATATAGGTATTAAAATATTATGCATACAGTTATAAAGAGTTTCTTAACTTCTTGCACACATGTTATATGTCATTACTGTTAATATCATTATACTTTTAAGTCATTAATGAATGTTGACATAATGATTTAATTTGTACTGATTTTAAACATTTACTGATAAATGTCTAAATTTTTTTTTCATTTTAAATATTCAAAAATTTAGAATGTATACATCGATATTCACTACCTAGGTAATTATCAGCATTTATCAACAGTAGACATTCAGAGTAACAGATTTAAGAAATACACGGAGTCTACCTGTATATTATAATATAAACTTAATTTTAGCTAGTCATATCTTTACTGGAGATATGAACCCAGTATTCATAACCTTTCATACCTCCCACATTGTTGTAGTGTGACAATAAAGATTCATTATACGTACGTCTTGCAGTCATTAGATTATCACAATGTCCATGAAAGTTGTTATTCGTGGGACGTTCAAGCCACAAATTCAATACTGGAGTTAAGCTTATTACCGTTTCTCTTTTTAAGTAGGCGCAACCGTACATCCGCGTCCTTGTTTGTATGGTGGTAACCTCAAAATGTATTCCTAGTCCAAGTGGAGGGCATACTTGTTCATTATTGGCATTACTTTGGACTGCAAGGCACAAAAGATAAATAATGCATTAAATAAAAAACGTATTATACTGTTTTTATTTATTCACATGCAAATATAATTGTTTAGGGTAGATTATGTCATCACCTATATATTATCTCAATGATAAAAGAATAGGTTATAGTCAATAGATGTTTATAATGTAGGTGTAGGTATTATGGCAGTGAATATTTTATGCAGGCGCATATTTTTTGAAAATATTTAAAGCAAAAAACTATCTATTAACGAATAAGATAATGCTATAGTTGCAGTTGCACGCACACACACACACACACACACACACACACACACACGTTTTTACGAATTTCTTCGTATTCGATTATAGACATAAATAGATATAACTAAATAAGGTGTAAATGAACAATTATGGTGATGGGGTTTAAAAGCACAATTCATAAATATTAAACTATAATAAAACAGTTTCATGTTTGAAAAAAATGTCTTAAATTTTAGAATAGGGATATGATATCAAGTGTAGATATTCACGAATTTAACTACGCATGAAATAGAGACCTCTAATTTGAATAACTATATTCCCTTATCTAAGTCTATGGCGTAGGAATATATCCTCCTATGAGTATGACATCGATGGAATACATACAACGAACACAAATAAATTCAGTCGACACGTTTAATGCGTATTGAACAATCTAAAATAATTATCGATATTTGACTGGTATTGATGGAAAAAAATAATGATTATTACCTTTATTATTGATTTAAAAAAAATTATAAGTTTAACGTATGGTGACTGTTACAACCGAATTTGGATTCTAAATTTTAGTGAAACGTTTTTTTTTTCGGAAACCTATATATTTTTATGTACTGTATTGTACTTCTGTACAGTTGTTTATTTATATTTTGAAACAAAGATTCTTTGATTAAAATTTTGTAGGAATTGTTAGAAGCAGTTATAAGTATTATCCCTTACTAAAAAATACAATGTTCGATAAAAATAAAAAGTTTCCAATAGAAATACTAATACATGATAAAATATCCTTAGAATTGTAAGCAACTGATTGATTATCTCTATTTAAAATTATCTTTAAACATATACAATGATTTATCATCAAATTAAAATTAAAAAAATTCATTAAACGGGTCTACTTAATGTGAAGTATTCTTGCGATTTCTATCATATAGCAAAGAGTAAGTTCTCGTTTTTTATTTATTGAAGTAGAGATGCATTCATACATGTGATATTCTGTACACTTGTATTTTATATAAATTATATATGATTATTAAAATCAGATATAAAACTAGATTTACAAAAAAATATTTGAATATTAAATATCTTAAACATAATAAAGGTACCTCAACTTAAAAATAGTTATAATCAAATTTAATCAATATCTTCTATATAATTTATTCTATTAAAATTGTAATAATAATTATTATTGTTACTATAACTTTCATAAATTGATAGAATACAATTTTGAAATACTAATTAAACAATTATGAATTATAACTATTACGGTGTATGAATTAAGTTTAAAACAGATAAATAAAAATATATTAAAGAAGATAACGTTAATATTTAAAAAAAATATTAATGTAAATGAAATGATAAATGAAAACAAATATAAAATAATATTTATAATTAATTAATTTATAGGTACTCATTACTCACTTGGCTCTATCTCTTCCTTTGTCAAACTATCCCTGTTCTTAGCTGCCACCCAGGAGAATGTGATAAGTAAAATATAAAATGGTTTTAATAAAGACTCCATAGTTTGTGAAAAATAATCGCAACCAAGTCTTTAACAGTCGTGAAAAATGGTTAAAGAATATAGCTGGGCACGAACAAAAAGTGAACTGAAAAATTAGTGATGTCACACTGATGGTAGTCGGCCGCTGCACGCCTTTATAAGCCCCACGGTAGTAGTAATGGATCATGATAGTGATGGTCCCTACTCCCTACAAACGGTTGTGCATCAGAGGCATCATAATAATACACACATACTATACGAACGCGGTACGTTATATCGAACTGAACTAGTTTTTGAAAGACAATAAGTTTCAGTTTTTTTGAAAATGAAATTTTCTAATTAATAAGTTCTGTGGTTATAAACGAATTGTTTACTTTTGAAACAAGTCAAATACGTGTGATAGTATTATTGTATTATAACGTTGAGAACTAACAATATGCTATATAATTAAATTAATTAAAATTAAAGACGAAAAAATTTACTACTTATTATCTGTGATTTGTAGATATTTTAAAAGTCATAATAAGCTGATATATAAGCTATTTTTGTTTAAATCTCTCTATTCTTCAAGATACTGTTTATTAATAAGTAGTTTTATTTATAAAAAAAAATAAAATTCGTTAAATTAAAACTCTTATTATTGGTAAAAAAATGTGTAAAAACAAATTTAAATAACTTAAAATAACTACAATTTAGAGGAGTAGTATTTTCCACACTGTAGAGCCTCCTCTGCCGTCTATAAAACAGGAAATATAAAGTATAAAGCAAATAAATTAAAAATATATTTAAGAACCATTCTTAATTAAAATTGTAAAAAAAAAAAAAAAACAATTATCTTTAATTTTCAGAATTTTTTATTTTTTTGACTTACTCCTCTCATAAAGTATAATCGATTCTTTTGTTAGATCGCCGTCTTAAAAACCATAAATCAGTGATGACAGGGGACAAAAATACATACTCACATTTTCTGGTTTTATACCCTTTATAAAATATAAAATATATTGTATAACAAAAGAAAACATTTAAATTTTAAATTTATTGACGAATGGCGGCGATTCATACAAGAAACTTCTTTAGAATTCGTTAAATTCCAAAACTGATAATCATGGCGATGGTCACCCCACATGACAGCATGAAGTACAATTATTAACATATGAATAGCTAAATATATAGGAAATCACCTGTACCCGCGTAGTCTTCTTCATACAGACTATGGTTTCGTACAAGTTATAGGTACATTTACTCACATCAGTATTCTTATGTTATAATATAAAATTATATTAGAAATATTTTGAAAATATCATAATATATAAAAATATAATAATATATCAAGTGAATATTTTTAGTCTCCACAAATAATAGTTTTTAATTATGACAAAATAATTAAATTATAAATTAAATATTTAATTTTGTTTAAATGCTTAAAGAATAATGTACCTGAATAATGTATTTGAAATTAAAAATAGTTGGTATACGTACAATCGATCGCGCAACGAAGAGTTTTATATTTTATATTTTTTATAAAAAACGAAAAAATGTCCACAACTGATAATGCCGCTGATCGCTGTTCATATAATTCGATTGGTATTCGGACAATTGAAACCCAACGGTTTTGATTTTAGTTAATATCAGATTTTCTACATTCGATATTTTTAGAACATGGACAAGAATTGACATCGAACGATAATGATTACGATAGTCGATAATCATGACTGTTCATAAACATTTTATATTTAAATTTAGCAATATGGTAATAATAGTTACGGTAAGGTTGTTACTTGTTCAATTGGAATGCGTTTTTAACACACTAATGGACACAGTCGGACGACCAAGTTGAGTATCAATTATGATACCCGTGGAGAAATCTATATTATTTCATTGATACATGTAAAATAGATTTTTCCATTATTATTTGATATTGATATTGGTAATATTACAAGTTGTTCAAACTGCACAAAACTGTACTTATCAAACACATGCAGAAGATTAAAAATCACAATGCAATGATCAGATATGACAGTACTAAACATACACTTAAATAAATAATATAAATATAAAAAATAAACACACACAGAGGGTCTGTTTCAAAATTTTGCTTAGGTACCGGCGCCGATATTTATGTTAGAAACACATTACCTGCAGACTGTAGTAGGCACTACAAAACATTACCCACCTTTGACGTGGTGAGACCACCAGTCTGGCGCCACTCAAATGGCTCGTCCTTTCATATGTTTTTAATTTTTTTCTCTTAGACGTTTTAAAAATACATTAACACATACACAATACGTGAAATATACAAGTACATTACTATTCCAATATTTATTTAATTTTTAATTTTATGTTACATATTTATATGAAGTGAGTGAAATGAGTTCTTTTACCATACGAAAATCTATAAATTCTGATTTTCATTTATTAATTAGAACAATAAAATTCATATTAAGAAATATTCTAAATAAACCTCATCGTTTATTTTACCTACAAAGAATAATAACATAGAATGGCAACCACTTTTTTATCTTCAAAAAAAAAAAAAAAAATTATTAATTTAGGAAGAAAATTCTTTTTGTTGAGATTGTTTTTAATTGTACTTAAATTATTGTATTGCATACTAAAATAGCTACACAGAGACAGAGTGATGGAAAATACAACACTGTTGTAAAGATTTATGTATTTATTGCATTATTTTATTATTCAAATGGTATTTTAAGAGGAATACATAGAAGTTGTGGAGGTTAAAATTGTTTTATCTAAACTTTTTTATAAAACTAAAAAGGAACACCATTTCAGAGATTTGAAAAAAATTGATTATTTTTATTAGTTAATAAAAGTATTAGTATTGCTAATAAAATTTGTGATAGAAATTAAAATAATATTATATCCAAAAAAGATAAATTTAAAATAGGTATATTTAACTTTGTTAAAGACATAATTATGTCTAATATATTTATTTTTGGTGGTGCTTGATTTTCTATCCTTGGTCTTGGTGTTTTGGTAGTTGTTTCCACTGTTTTAGTTCTGTAATTTAAAAATATTGATTCATCATTGAAAATTGAATTATTAATTCAAGTATAATCATTAAAGTTTGTTTTAACTTTATTTAACTATATTAATAATTTAATATATAATCATGTAAGTTTTATTCAATAGTTAATTATTGTTCCAATTGTAAATATTTACGTAATTATAATTATTAATTACATTACATATCACTTACGTTATTGGTTCAGCTGGTTCAGGACCACAATAGTTGTTTTTTATAAATTTTCTAGTGCAATCTGCAAAACAACACTCATCGACAATCCCTCTTTTAGAAAATCGATGTCCATTTCCTAAAAACAATTAAGTAAATTATAAGTCATGATCAAAATATGTTTTGTGTTTAATAAAACCATCTACATAATATGATACTATATAATTTATTCATTAAAATTCTTCAAATTATAATTTTTTTCAATTTTTAAAGGTTTTTTTTTTGTTAAGTCTCGTATAAAATAAAACAAAATATGTTTTATTCATAATTTTAAAAATAAGTAACTATTATTAAATTAATATTTGGATTAATAGAGGTCCTATTATCTATAAGAATAGTTTGAAATAGAGAGCGGGTTTTTTAGTGATTATATTTAAACAGTATTATATTTATATTTAATGTTAATCAGATATTATGAAGAAATTAAATTACCTCTAACTTCATTATACCTCCATTTGCATATTACAGAAACTTCAATAGCCAATTTCTGTTCACAAAATCTTACGGGTTCTTCCATATATGTACATATTTGGTACGGGTGAACTTAAAATAAATTTCTCCAAAAACTGTGTGATGATAAAAATAAAAATTGTATTTATCATTTTATCTGAAATACCTATACAAAATATAATTATTATCACACCAATTTAATTTTTATGATTTTTTATAAAATGACCGAATATACCTATCAAATAATTTCAAATTCCGAAAATGTTCGACGAAATAGGTGTAGTAATTTATATACCTAACCAAACTATCCAAAAGTTCAATAATAACTAATGTATGATGTTTAAGTAATAATAATATCAATTAGTGGTCGATAAAATAATTTAATTTAGTAATCTGATAATAGTAAATAAGTAGGTATAACGAACCTTTATTGAGAAGACTGTCAGTGTAAGATATAATACGGGATGCTTCTCTTATATACAAGTTAGTATCCTAATACAAACACTTGGAGGTGTACTGAATTGTTATCATTTTGAGTATAGTGCGGATGATAGCTCTTACCTGTGTATATAATACTTAATTGTGTTTAAGATTGATACAATAATTAATGCGATTAATTTAACTTTATATCAGGATATTTTCTATTTGTATTCCATTTCTACAGTACCTACCAATGAAATTTCATTTTTTTTTTTTTTTTTTTTTTTTTAATATGTTTTTAATGTATATATACTTAAGTGCATTTACATTATCGCTATATATTTAAAGGTCATAATGAATTTTATACGGTACTTAGAACATAATTAATTGGTAGAAAATAAATTGAATATAATGAACTATAATTTATGAAGTATGATACAAGCTTAATATTATCATTTTTTTAAACGCGTCTTTATACAGTGCATGAGACGCACAAGACATGTGTCTTGTCAATGTGTGTGAAGTAAACTGACTGTTTCTATAAAATATGTTTTTATGTTATTTTATGGGGAAAGAATATCATAATTAGGTTTATGTATTCACGGACATGGGTAGATTAAATTCATAAAGAGATTTCAAAGTTCAACTTTTTAATATAACACTCAAGTTTAAACTATTTTTCCTATACTATTATATTATATGTTCAACTATAATATTGTAGATTAAAAATGATACATATCTGTACATTTGTTAATACATAAAATGTTATTTATAATTAATTTGGTAAAATGTTAAAACTGGTAAACAAATTAACATTTATTATTAATTTTTTTTGTAGTAGGTACTAATTACCGAGTTAACTATTTAATTTATTACTGCAAATTAAATTGATTTTCAATACTTATCACGATACAGTGATCTTCAAGTTTATAATAAATAATAAAATTTTTCAATAGATTTTGTGACAAAAACATTCATAAGTCCTATTTATATTCTATTCATAGTTTCTTTTAATTTCACATAAAATTATTTTGTATGATTTTCAGTAAATTTCATAAACATTGTCTAATTCCGATTGCTACCGACCCACATCGAATTTTCTGCAGGTGTCGATAATCCCCAAGAGAAGCACCATTTCTCACGTTTTATTGAAATGACACTCCTAAACCTCATAAATAATTTTACGCCAACAGCTGCAGAAAAATCACAATTATATAGTGCAACAATATAGGTATATAAAAAAATAATATATAAGAACCTTTTATTCTTTTGTCAACATATGATTTCACACTATTATATATTTATATTAAATTTCTTATTTTTTCCATTACTTCAACGCTTTTGCATTGGTTGGTTAGTACATCGTGGGCGGTACACTACATGTATTGTTAATAACACAATGAGTATTCACAGCCGGCCTTTGCGATGCCAATGTAGCAAAGGTAATCATTTATGTAAAATGAAAAATCATTTTCGAATATTTCTTGGAAAAACCTTATGTATATAAATGTGGAAGCAGCAGTTGAAATATTATCAAAAACACATAGTTAGCTATAAGAGAACCTAATTTAAAATTAACTAAAAGTATATAGAGATTATATGTTTCTTTCGCTTTCAAAAATAACAGAAAAGATACCAAATTTACAAATAATTTTATTTTGCGGTTTCCAAAGCAGATGTTTTAAAATATATTGATAAAGTTGATAATTAAGGTAGGTACAAATTGTTTATAAATTAAAAAAATTTTTCATTAAATCTGAAGTGTTGTAGGCACACCTTTTATAATATCACCAGAAACAGTTGGAGTATTATTAATATAACTTTATCAACATCACGTTAACCACGTAAATAATTTTGAATATCAAAATAAACCTACTAAGGCATATTATAATAATATAGGTACTCATAATATGGTTATAAGTTATAACAATTCAAATTATAAATGTATAAACATTGCATTAATTATACTAGTTAAAAAAAACTATACGGTGTATAGCGAAGACTAATAAAATCATTTGGTAAAAATTTCAAGTATTAACGTTTATTATTTTTGGAATTATAACCAATTTATAAGTCAATTTTGTTAAAAATTTATATTGCGTAAAAAATATTTTGTTCGCCATAATTTATTATTATTTTTCTTATTTTTTTAATGAAGTACTTAATTTTTTGGATTATTTAGGTATATTTGGGTATCAGAATGTTGGTTACTACTTTGTAGAGGGTATACCAGCCAAGATGTCAATAGTACAATAGGTATTAATAATATGTCTCAACGACGCCAACGTAGGGTAGACTTTTATATAAAATGAAAAAAATCATTTTTAAATTTTTCATGGCAAAAGCATATATGTATAAATTCGAAAGTAGCAGTTAAAATATTATCAATATAACTTTGTTAATATCGCATCAGCTATATGAGGGCTGTTCTGGTGGGATACAGGAAATTGTCTTAAAGAAACTTTCACGGCTGTTGAAATAAGTCACGTAAATCAGAGGTTCCCAAACTTCTTTTCTTCATAGATCCCTAATATTGAATTTTAACAAATTAATGTAGAAGTGTTGTTGACACAGAGCTATTAACTTGATTAGGGTTTACTATAGAATAAACATTTTATAATAATGACAATATTAATTATTTTTTTGATCATTTCAATGACAGGAAATGCAAATTAAATGTAATAACATAAAATAAAAATTATAATTTTATCGAGAAGAGCGAGTATGATGCTTTGATATTAAATGGTGTTTCACATTGTTGTATACGTATTTTTCGTAAAAATTACGATTTACACATTTTTTGCTCTATAATTCTCATGAACCCTTATTGTATCTCTACGCCTCTTATTTTTTTTGTTGACACAGATCCTTTGCAGATTAGTATTTAAACAGTATTACATTAGTAATATAAACCACTTTGGGAGCCCCTGATGTAAATAATTATAAATATTAAAATAAATCTATCTAAGAATATTTCAATACTAGTAAAATAGTTATAAATGTGAGTGGTCATAGTATAACAACAATGAAAATATAAATGTAATTCAGACCGGCACGGTTCTTGATAAATTTTAATAAACTAAATAATAAGAACATTTTCATTAGAGGTAAGGAAGGAGATGCTTTTTTACCCTTTTTCCTTTATCTTAAAAATAGATAGTGGTGGTAGGACAGTTGTAATATGACACAATGCACCAAAGATTTCAGATAAACATCTTAATCGATAATAATAATAATAATACAGTATTGATTTTTATACATTTTTTTTTATATTTATAAACACTATTTAAAATATATTTATATTTGTATAGAGTTGGTTACGTCTTAGTCCTAAATATGGTGTCCTATATTGCTATGATAAATGTTTAGAAATGATTTATTATTCAGGAATTTAATATTAAAAATTCATGTTAAAATATTATCTAACATTACTTGTAGAAAAGCAATAATTTTTTTATAAATAATTAAACTGTCAAGTTGATTACTTGATTGAATGAATTAAAAAAATATTTTACTCGCTTAGGTTGTTAATGACGACTATGCTGTTGACAAATACGTTTATTGCTTTCCTATAACACGAAACATTGTAGTAATCGTTTACCTATTATTAATTGAACATTTTGTCATTTACACATTTTGATTCATAGTACTGAGTAATTTTTAACCTTATCGACGTATGTTACAGAGTAAGTAGGTACATTGTGTCTAGTATTCTAATTTTCAGTAATGTAAAAAAAAGGAAGTTAAAACTAGTGGCTGTGTGTGAAGAAAAATATCCATTTGTTAATAAACAAAAAAGGTAACGGTCTTTCAGAACAATGTAAAACGTAAATTGAAATAGAAAATTTAACCATATATTTTAGTATTTTAGTTATGACCCAACAAAATGTTGTATACTTGTATATGAATATTGTAACTGAATTACGTTAAAAATATTTTGGCTTAATTTACTAATTTGGACTAGTCATATCTTATAGGTATAATATCTTCAATACATTTAATTAGTATAGTATACATTTTTAGAACTCTCAGTTTTATACTTTAATACTTGTTAGTTTAAAAGTTAAAATACAAATGTAAATAATCATTAATCAGTATCGTGAATTATTCGGTACAAGACTAGTTTATGTGAAGATGACAACAATACTTAGGTACTTATTCTAATTCGTAATTATATTGTCGTTAATCAAATGTTTTTAATGACGAGGGAGAATTTTAATGGAAAACATACTTAACCCATGGGGGGCATGGTCTCCTATGAGTAATCGTGTTTCACAAATTATTTATAGTACATAATTTAATGGGAAATTGTAAACGCCTATAAATATATAGTGATAACTCTTACAAAATATAGAGTAATAAAATAATATAATTACAAAAAAATAAAATTTATTTTAAGTATAAATAGTATAATTATCATACGTCATTAAATATTTTAAAAAAAACCAATGCTTTAGGGATATAGGTAAAAGATCAAAATTATTTGAAAAGATATAAAAATTAATAGAATAGTCATATTCATTTATTGACATTGTTTTTATCTGTCTACGTTGTGTTATATGACTGCTTCTAATTTAATATACATCTTTTAAAACTTTCACGAATAAATGGAGATACGAATGATGATGATAAAAACTACTATTATATTACAAATGAAAAGATTCATATATATTTGTAGCCTCATCAGAATATCACAATTTTGGAGGAAATATTGAATATGAAAACATAATTTTCAGATAAATAGTCTCAATATTGTTCATATTATCAGATGGCATATTTTCTAAGAAATTAAATAACACAAAGCAATCTTCAATATCGGTAACATCTTGCAATAATGGTTATTCGAATGTATAAACTAAAACTTTTCTGATTTCAGATTCACTATTATTGTAAATTTTAATCATTTGTAAGGTTTAATTACTGGATTTTTCTGTATCAATTTTGGCATAAATGAAAATAACAACTGTAAACTTGCAGTGTTGGCCAAATATTTTTAATTACATTAAAATTAGTCACTTTAAACTTCAAAGTCTACCACAACTGTAACTGGTTGAGATGGTAAATTATTTAGCAAGCATATTTCTTTATTTTTTAAAAATAATCTGCTGTGTTAAAATTTTTGTTAAAATATAATAAAGTTAAGTAAAAACTATTGATGAATAATTTTGATTCTTTAAACCATGAATAGTAAATAACTGTAAAATATATTTTATAAAATAATTAAATTATCGTCTGATATTTTTTCGTTAGAACAGAGAAATTTTAAATTTTCTATACAAGAAAATACTATAATCTAGGTATCCAAATCATTTGATAAAACAAATTGTTCAAAGCGGTTTGTTTTAATATTTATTATATTATTTAAATTTGTCTTAACATGAACTTCTTCAATACTTTAAGGCAAAGGTGGTAATATAAATGTACACATATTATACACGTTTCGTCTAAACTCTAATGCAGCGGTTCCCAAACTTTTTTGAACGCGGTGCCCTTTTAGGGGCACCATGTTTACCACGGTGCCCTGCTGTATATAACATGAAAGATGGAACAAAAAAAGTACTCATTGAGAACCAATGAAACGTAGACCACGGTGCCCCTAGAAAGTGCTGGCGGTGCCCCTAGGGCACCGCGGTGCACAGTTTGGGAACCGCTGCTCTAATGTAATTAAGATCAATTGTATTTAAATTATTTTTTTGTTAATGTTTAATTTCAGTAAGAATAAACTTGTAAAATTTTTCTACAATATTGTTTTCACTTACTTTCCTTTTCAGTAAATTATTTACTTCTTGAAGATCCAACGTAGCATCTTCATCGTGATCATGAATCAAAACAGCATTTTTTACAATTATTTCGTACTCAGTATTATTTGTATAAATTTTAATTTTACACTTATTAGTTATTATTAATACAACGTTAAGTTTTTTGGCCACTTTTTGAAATGTAATATAAAAAAAATTATATTTATTTACTGTAAATAGCTTTTTATAATTTTGACTGTACATAATTTCATTGCAATTATTGGTTAAACAAAATTTTGTCACTGCCTATAATGTACGACTATACGAGTGACTAATTTTACGGCACATAACAGTGACATTTAAAAGGTGACGTACTACGATATCGGCAATAAACATCGTTCGGGATTTCCGATACGGACGAAATTATTATCTTTCAATAGATATTCGATAATATTCAATATCATACCATCGTTGATCTAACAATAAAAATTAAAACATTTTGTACTGCAAAAACCAATATGGATGCGATAAGCATTCCTAATTGGCAAAAAGTAAGAGATTGTTAGTTTTACGTAGGTTCGAAAATTATTATAATACACAGCGCATAAATATGTTCAATTCAAGTGTTTGTGTTTCATCTATAAAAATTATTTTTTTATAGGTATGAATTATGATTATTTTATTTTTAAATATTACATAACTAATATTTATACTTTATTTTGCTAAGAACTTTCAAGAACATATTTTACAACCTTTTAGTATTAACCTCTATTAAAATTATTTAACTTATTAGATAAAAACTATATTCAACGATGATTTGTACTTAATAGGACTTCAGAATGTAGAGATATTATTATTTAGTATCTTAAATCGTTTTAAATATTGATGCAACTTAAAATTAATGAAACACTAATAAAAAATTGAAGTATGACTATTACGACTATAAATTTACATCAATTTATGATAATTTATGTATCGTAATATCTTATAATTAGCAGGGTAAACATGATAATCAGCATGAGATATTAAGATAAATATAATTAATATGACTTTACCTAATTTAGTATGTTTGCTTTTTAATTAATTTTTAACTAATTTTCTTTTTCTTTTTTAATAAATTTTATAACAATAAATAATATGTATTTTTAATTTATAATGATAAGTAATTATGTTTATTTTTGTGTTATTTACAAAAATTAATTAGCTTCTTCTGTTTACATAGTTTTTTCAAAATACATACAATAAATTTCAATTTATTTAACCACATAAAAGTTCTTGTTCAAACTAAAAATTTTAATACTTCATCATTCTTTTGATATATATTTTACTAAAATATTTTAGATCATAAAAGTTACAGTTAAATATTTTATAACTCCAAACAAATAATCTCGGTGTAGTATTTTAAAATCTGTTTCCTTACTTTCTACGTTTCCAATACTTCTTTAATTATAATTTTAACTAGAAATAAATTTATCCAAAAAGAATCATTTCTAACTCTATTAATATTTAATATGTTTATTTAATATTTATTATAAAATTTATTTGTGACATATTTAAGCTACATATTTAGTAGCTTTGAACTTAAGTTGATTAAATTAATTTTAAAGATTGACCTACAGTACAAAATCTTTAGATCTCTTTTCTAATAAACATAATGACACTTAAAGTAATCCAAAGTTTTAATTTAATTGTTTTAGAAATTATTTTCTAATTATGAACACAAGGTAATTAATCAATACATTTCTAAATTTTATTATTAAATTTTCAACATCTTATCTGATAAGAATGTTGAATCAGTTTTTATTATTTAAGAATGTATTAAATGTTTTATAGTTAATGAAATTGTATTTGGTTTGGTTATTGTTTATATGTGTAAGTTTGTCATTATTATAATTATTAATTTTTATGAGACAATTAAAATGGTCATATGTGCTGATTTTTATAATAAATAAATTAACTAGGTTAGGATTAATTTTGTTTATGAAACAATGATCAATACAAGTTTTAGTTGAGTTATTCACTTTAGTAGGGTTATTAATACAAAAAATAAAAGTTGAATTGAGTCATTCTATATTATTATAAAGGGACATATCTATAACAGTAATTAGAATTTTTAAATTTATTTTAACTTAAGGTTAATTCAATGAAATTACAAATACCAAAAGTACTTTTATGAAAATTATTAATTTTACAAATATTATTATTAATTAATGTAATAAGATTTATTAAGAGTATGTGGTTTGGTAACTATAAATTGAATAATTAGTTTTCTAGAAAGCAAGTTTCACCGAGTACAATTATTGAATTATACCAAAAAAATTAGTAGAAGTGTTTAAGAAATAAACTAGTTTATCAAAATGATATTTAATATTTCTTATGATTATACAAACTATAGTTCTAACTGTTATTAAAATGTATAGGAAATAAGTTAAATGATTCTAAAGTATTAATATTATTAATGTTACAAACATCAGATAAAATCTTATTTAATCTAAGTCTACCATAATTATTATAAATTCTAATTAGGCAACTTTATTCTCATCAAACTCAACAAAGGTTTCTCTCCTACACACTATACATATTTAAATTTAATACATTTTTCAAACATTCTGGTAATCTGGTACCATAATAATTCTTTCTGTTTAATGTAAATAAGGCATTATTGATAAAAATAAGTTTGGCCTGATTGCTAGCACCAATATCACTAGTATAAAACAATTTTCTTGATTTACCACCATTTTTAGAATTTTTGTATAATTTAAATTTATTTATGCATTTTTGTTTTTAATTTTATTATTGAATTGAATAATAGTTAAATAGTTTTCATTTTTTATGTGCCTTGAACATAATAAATTTTGTTTTGTTTATATTTAAATTAAAGTATTTTTTAAGGATTTAAGGATATATCAATTAAATTATCATTATAAGTTACAATAATTTCTTGTATTTCGACATCATTAAGAAGTTAGTAGGTATTAACTATTACCATTGAATTTATTTTGGACTTTATTAATAATAATATTAAAATCATTATTTTAGTTATTTTTTTTTTAATGCTATTAATTTATTTCCATAGCTTTTCATTTTATTTACATGTTTACCAAGTTAAAAAAATAAAAAATTCAAAGATTCGAAGATTCAAATTTTAATGATCTCAGTATTTAATTTCTTCGATTTTCTTGGAATTATTTATTAATTTGTGACAGAATTTTGTTTTTTATGTTAGTGAGTATTTTTTTAAAAATTATAATGAATATTATTTAATTTAAATACAAATATTTTTGACATATTGCTCAGTTTTTAAGAAACAATTAGGCTATTTTGAGAAGTCATTTAAAACATCCAGAATTTTACACACAACTACACAATTAGTATATTATACTAAGAAGTAAGAATGATAAATAAAGTTAGATAATAAGCCATGAGACAAGACAATCAGGTAGAAGAATTGGAACTATATTTTAAAATATAATAGCACAAAATGTAGAACACCGTCAAAGTATAAATCAAGTAAAAAATTGTCTGTAGAAGGTATTGCTTATTTACTGATAAACAACTGTATTATAGGTTTGAAAAAAAAAAACTAGGATTTACTAATTTGTCTAGTTTCTGTTAAATTAATCTAGCAGTGAATGGCTTTGTGGTTATTTTGGCTATAGACTCCTACCATTTATTTATTTATTTTAAATAAACTATATTGAATATTCTTGAGTATTTATAATATCATTTAAGCAACAATTCACATATTTGAGAATATTTTGAAAATGATGAGGAACCATGTATTAAAGGAGTTAGGTACATCAAAAATTCTTAAATCATACTTATCAAATAGAATACAAACAGTTAGAATAATACCTAATTAATATTCACAGTGAAACTGTTAACACACTATGTCCAATTTTATTTAACATTATATTTGTTCACAGCTTACTCAATATGCCTGGAATGCATGGGAAAATAATCAGTTTTGCTGATGATACTGTTATTATGATTAAATCAAATAATGAAACTACCTTTTATGAAAATTCCAATCAATGTGTATATTGCTATAACATGGTAATTGGTATGACAATTATTTATTTAGCTTAAACTTAAAAAAAAAAAATTAGTTATATAAAATTCAATATAGGTAGGTAAATAATATTTTAACAACAAATGAAAAAAATGTGTTTATCCATATAGATAATTATTGTAAGATTAGTTTAGAACCTTAAAATTGTGCTATTATTAACCAAATAGATAGAGTAAAATATCTTGAAATAATCATTGACAAATCCTTTAAATGAAATCATGTTCTATGTTCTATATGGCTAAATCTATTAGAAAATTATACTACTGGCTATTGCTAAACATTTAAATTACTAATAATTTGTATAGAAAAAAAAAATTAGAACAGTTTATTTGGCAATAATTTTGATACAATTTTTTAATATATAATAATTTATTATGTATGTTAATTATTTTTCATAAGATTATCTAAATACATTACTCTTTTCAATAAGAAAAGCTGTCAGCCACATATTTAACATTAATATATATATATATATATTAATGTTAACAATATATATATCCTATCTGTATATAACATTGTAATAATTGACTAATTGACAATACTAAACTATTACCTATTATTATTATTATTTATTATGGAATAGTCAAGATACTTATCTATAGTAATTGAATAGGTATAAATTGTATACATATAATATGTTACTTTCTTGCTATTTTAAATTAAATTACCTATAATAGTAGGTATGTAGGTATTCCAGCCATTCTAGGCTTTAGTAAAAATAATTCCTATTGGCTATTCACATATGATATACCACTGACTTTTATTTATATTACAATATCTGTGTATTTAAATTAAATATTTACTTACCTTTACAATTATATTACAGCAAATTGCCTTATTCACTAACTGTTCAAGCCACACTGAATCCAGAAGTTTTTTTCTCTTCTTCCAAAAGTTAAAAGTCGAAAATGTGAAAAAAAATAGAAACAATAATGATTAAATTATATTAAGTACCTATATGAAAACGGATAAATCATTCATAAACATTAAACAGTAAACCAGTTACCAGTGTTAAAGAATTATTAAACTAGTAAAAA